TGCCCCCCTGCCCGAGGTCTGAAAGATTAGACTGGAAGTTTTCTGGGTGGGAGATGTCCCAGGGCTGAGGTCAGGGACAGAAATGTAACGTTTGCCCCACTCTGTTATACAATCCGCTCTTAAATAAGCACTCGGGGTCACTGCTCCTGCCAGGAGGCTGCGGCTGGCTGTGGGGCTGCTTGGAAAACAGGCTGTGGTTTGCAGGACCACTGTCCCCCCCAGACAAGAAGATGAAGGAAAAGCAGTTACATGCTTTCAGGCAGTTCCATGTTTGGGCCCTTTCCAGCCTCTTTTTTGCAAGGTACTTTTTGGTGACAGAGGCACCAGCCTTGCAAAGGCACAACCTATTTGTAAAGCCAGCGGCCTGAAGGTTGCAGCAGGGAGGTGCTTTTGGCTGCTGTGAGAAAAGGCCGGTGTTTATCTGCAGGACACTGTGGCTCGATAAGTGCAAGCAGGGAGCAGTGCTTGTTGCTGGGATGCTGGGTGTCCACCGGGTCTGGGGGTCTGGGTGTGACGGCCGTCAGCCCCTGCTGCACCTTGCCCAGACCTGCTGGAGACTCAGCATCCATCCAGCACAGCTCTGTGTCCCCCAGCCTCACGTCGTGGCTGCTCTCTGCATTTCGTAAAGCTGCCATGGAGCAAAAACTGTTGTGGAGCCCTATCTATGGAGGGATGTCCACGGAGAGCATTGGGAAACCTGTGGGAATGGCTAGCAGTGATCTGTGCGGGCTGCAAATGAGCGGTCGCTCGATGGAGCTGGATGATTTGCCCTAGGAAATACAGGACAAGTCCAGGAAAATAAACCATGCTGGCAGGGAAAGCTCCCAAAGCAAGGCCGGGAAGCAGCCACGCTGCACTCAGAGCCCGAGCCTTGCTGCCCTGGGATTGCTGTCCTTGAGCATGCATTTACAGCCAGCTAGCCTATTTTTTTTGCTGGATCATTTCTTCCTAATGAAGGTTTTTGCCCGGTGGTCGTGCTCCCCTGAGGGTGAGGGAGAACAAATCAATATGAGCAATAAACTGGTGCAGGGCAGGGTGAGTTCTTGTTGTTTTCAACTGAGAGGGTGAGTGGGAAATAGAAACACTGGGGGACAGCTGGAGAGCACTGAGGAAGCTCAGGTTATTCCTTACTCGTCTTTTGCCTCCCTGAATGCCGTGCTGGCAGAGCAGGGCACCAGCGTGGCCCTGTGACAGAGGAAAGATGCTCTGGACTTCCCAGTTTTGCTCTGCGTCTCCCCGCACAGAGGTCAGGGGATCGCAAGCAGCAGGGCCATGCCAAGAGCTGGCCCCGCAGCCAGAGCCCAGTGCTGCTGTGGGAGCACGGGCGGCCTGGGATGACATGAAGTGGCTCGTGCATATGCCAAATGTCCCTCGTCCAGAGTGACGGCCACGTGGCAGTCCTGGTGCTCCTCCCAAAATGCTGCTCACGAAGCTGGCAGGAGTCATGAGCTGGGTCCCCTTGCTGTCCCTTCTACTCCATCCCCGAGGCTGCTCCGGGACAGCAGGGACCCCGAGCTGCCTCTGTGCCATCCCCAGAGAGCCCTGAATGGGGCTGATGTTCCCAGTCGGTCAGTTGCTCAACCCCCAAAGACTGCAGAGCAGTGGCACTGAGTGTGTTTGCCTGTCCCTGCTGGCAGGCTCTTTGGTGCCTGGCTTCCTGTGATCCAGGGAGGCATTCTAGCTTAATGCAGCTATTTTGTTTTTTTAATCTGGCTTGATTTTCCTTTACACCTTTCCAAATGTTTTAAGCTATCCTTTGTGGTGCTTATCCACTGTTTAATCTGAGAGCAAAAGACTGTATCTTAATCCCTGGATCTCAAATGGATTTGCCTTTGGTTTGGGCAGCTAACCCTCCAGCCCTCTGCTACAGCTAGGCTGCATTTATCGAGGGCAGGCAGATTCAGAAAAGGAATAAAATGCCTCCTCCCTCTCCTTTCACTATTTCTCTCTTTCTCACAAGTTAATGTTACTCAAGCTGCACAAAATAGGTGATATCCCCCTGATTAATATTTCCAAATCATTTGACGTTTTCCCTTGTGATGAGCCACTGGAGCCTTCTTTTGACAAGCTACCTAAATGCAATCAAAGCCAGAGCAGTACTGTGCTTTTTGCGGCTGGCTGGGTGCACAGGCCAAGCTGACATGGAGCCAGTGCACAGGACAGCACTTGAATCCGTTGCACCGTCTTCCTCGAGGACCCAACCATGCTCTCGATGAGCAGGCCCCAGCAGCAGCCTGGCACTGTGTTTTTCCCAAAGGACACATGCACTTCACTTCAGTGGCACTGGAGGGGCTGCCTTTATTTCAGCACGCTCACCTGGCCCACGAGAGTGCCTTCTTCAGCCTGGCAAGGGTAGGCCTGCAGTTGCTGAAACTCACCTGGAGCCAGCAGAGCAGCACAGCCCCTTTCCATTCCTGAGGGCACCAAGACAAACGTGGGGACCCCATCAACACAAGCCCTGCTGCCTCTTGAGCAAGCCCAGGAGCAGGGCTGGGGCCAGCAGGTACTAGCCCCTCTGACCATGCCTTCCCCACATTCCTCTGCCTTCCCCATGCTTTTCTCTGTTACACAGAGAAGTTTGGGGGCAGGAGAAGCTCTAATTCAGACTGGCACAAATCCGAAGACGACAGGACACTGATCTCAGCCCCAACTTCTGGGTGCTGCTAAAACTTGGCTTCTCAATTCTTTGCAATTGCCCATAGCTATGCTGCAGGCCCCCTGCTCAGAGGCATACAGAGAGGCTTGGAGGAAGACTGAATGCCATTTTTCTACAGCGGTGTTCTAGATTTTATTGAGAGCAAATTAAATCTAATTAAATTCACATGTTAATCCAGCCAGATTAAATGGCACATTCCAGAAGCCAGACTGAACCTGGAAATACAGATGGCAGAACAGGTCCAGCCCTTCAGCCCCAGGCTTCGATTCAGTGCCAGAGACTGGACCCAGGCAGTTTCATCAGTGTGGTAAGGATCGTGCCCCAGATCCAGGCTGGGCTCAGAGCAGAGTATAGCAGTCATCCTGGCCCCAGAGGATGCTGCTGCCCCAGGTGTCCTCTCATAAGCCCTCGGTGCTGGTGGAAGAAGCTCAGGTCCCCATCTAACCTGGGGTTTCCTGTAGGTGCTGCCGACATTGGGTCTCACACCGGCTCCTGCTGACAGCTACCACATCTTTGAGGTACTTGAGCCCTTGGCAAGGAAGCCTGTGCTAGTCCAAGACTCTTCCTGAGCTGGGCAAGGTAGGCTGGGACCATAGGGCTAAATTGCATCCAAACCCATCCTGGTGGAGCCTCATCACAGTATGGGTGTGGGTGGGACCCTGTGTTGGAGGGGGGTTTGCCTTCCAGGAAAGGACAATGAGAGCTGGAACTTGGCTTCTCTGGTGCTGTGGGAATTCACAGCAGAAATCCTCTTTTAAGCACAACTCATCTCTGTGCAGCTAGTCAGGACCTGCACGGGAAGAAACCATGTGAAACCCTGGGAATCAACCACCTGTCCCTTTGTGAGGACCTGTAAATCTTGCCTGGCAGGACCAGCGTCATGTAGCTGCAAAGGATGCAAATAAACTCCACTGTGTAACTAGCACCCTTTGTATGCCCGGATAATCATACTCAACACCCCCTTGCAACTGGGAGCCAGGCCTGCCTGCCCAGGGTTCAAAGCAAAATACCCTTCCCAGGTGTAAAGCTGCACTGCTTCACTCAAATCAGTATCGTACAGTGATGCTTTGCCCCACAGAGGAGCTGGCTTGCGATATGAAAGATCAGTTAAGCTGCAAGGACAAATATCCTCTTCTAAAAGCTACAGCCAGTGCCGATGGGAGTGATTCCTAGCAAATATCCACAGCACACTAAGCAATCAGTTCAAAATTATTTTATTAAAGAATAAAATGTCTACACAGCATTTTTCCAAGTGAGGCTCTGAGTTGACACTGATGCCCCTGTGATGGTGGCATACTTCCTCTCATCTCCAATTGTCTCTGGTAACTTGATTTGTCATGCTGCACCGTGCAGAAGAAGTACCAGCAGTGTAGACTGAAGCACGGTATCACCAATCATGTAAGCACCACTGGTGACTCCTTCCTTGAACCGAGTGGTACAAACAGCAAAGCAGACACAGCTCTGTGCCTTGGAGGAAGACTGTACAGGTTCAGTGGCTGGTGTGATTATCTCTGCAAGAGATTTGATGGGCATCACAGTGACAGCTGGAGCAATTCCTCTTTTTCTAGGACAAGAGGTTTGGCAGCTAGAGTCTGCGAGTGCAGAAAAATTCTCTCCTTGTGGTGGCCTTGACGGCCTAAGTAGCCATTGGGAAATGCCACCAAGGGGACCCAAACCCCAGAGGTGCTTAGAGGTGCATAGGTCAGGTGAGAAAAAGCAGTTTAAAGCCTGTGTGGAAACACATTTCACCATCCTGGCATTTAACATGTGCATGCATACTCCTCAGCAGCAGAGCTGGTCTCCTTTTTAGAGAGGTGGGTCAGAAATTACTGCAGAGGAGGCAGTAGCTAGGCAGATGTGGCCTTCAGGTGGGGCTGGAGGCAGCGTGCTGGCTGGAGACAGAGTCATCTTTGCAGTGGGGCAGCCCTGGGGTTTGCAGGTGCATTGGTGCTCTGAGCAGCACTGCAGCCTCCACAGGAGTCAATACGTAGCCCAGGCTTTGAAAGCAGCTTCATCTCGTCGTGCTCTTGCAAAAGAGTGAGATGGAAATTGCACTGTGTTTATACAGACCTAAATGATAGGAGTCTGTCTGAGCAGATGCTTGCACATGAAAGCTTCAGCTGGCTACAGAGCTTCATTTCCAGGAGCAAAAGAGAACCACTTAGCCATTTAATCCTTTGAAGACTTTGATCATCCAGATAAGGGGAGACAGGGCAGAATGGGGGAGAAGGCTCCCATTTGCACCTGGGAGACTGCCACCTCCCCAGGCAGGCTGTGTACCACCACCCCGGAGAGCCCCCCCGACACACCCCACACAGGCAAGTATGGCTCCAGAGTCTGCCCACTGCCCTTCCTCTGGCTGTGCCCCAGCCCCTCGCTTTAAAACCTCAATCCTGGGGAGATTGCGCAATAACTCCTTCAGGTTGAGAATGGATTATACCTGTTTCAAAGGTATTTGGCACTTGTGCTGCACTGGGGGAGCCCAGTAAACCGGCCCAACCCCTCCTGTGAAAGTACCTGCAGGTGGTTCCTGCAGCTGGTGCCTAGCAACATGCTCTGAGCTGCTCTGACAACAGCTAAAATTCAACGTTATTTCATCCTTCCTCCCCAGAGGAGCAGCTCTTGAGTCATCACCAGAGGAGAAGGGGATGTATCTCCCACACTTGGCTTGCTATAAATGAGTGGTATGTGAGGGGCTGCTCTCTGTCTCTTGAGCACGTGTGCTGCTGCCAGCCTCTCCACATGCGAGACAGCTGCAGGCTTAGGAGATATGTTAAATTGTTTTTTTCCCCTCCTTCCCAACTTGCTTCCTGCTCCTAAAAGCCTCTCTGCTTCCTTGGAGCTCTCTGCAGGGAAGCCTGACCAGGTTTGGATCCATGCTGAGTCCCACTTTGGCTTTGCTTTGGTGAGCCCCAGGTCATGCAAACACACAGGTAGCTAAAAACTCAGGGCTGTGCTGGGCACTCTCTAGTGACACATGGCAACTTTTAGACCACCTGTGTGACAAGAGGAAGACACCCCTGAATCTGAGGGACATGCTCTTGGGGAGTGGCACACATCAGAAAAAAAAACACATAGGAAACCAAGTTTGCCTGTTTATGGGGCTGAGATCCTTGCAGGGGTGGTGAAGCAAACACCAGCCAGGCTGGGCAGGACCAAGCGGCGTGTTTCTGCATGCGGGCAGGGCGCAGGGATTGGTGATGGGAAGAGAGAGTCAACAGGAGGATCCAGCTGCAGAGAGGGCAGGGGCTCCGTGGGCAGCACAGCTTCCAACGCCCGCTGGCACTGCGCAGAGGGGAGGAAGGCTCCAGCCAGAAGAGGTGGGAAGCTTAGGAGCAGGTTATGTCTGTGAGTAGCAGGGCCGTGGTGCTGCGGCCTGGGGGCTTCTCAGAGAAAACCAAGATGCGGTGCCTTGCAGGGCTTTTCCAAACTCTGGGAGGGCACATGTTTGCCTCTGGGAGCAAGCCTGAGATGCAGGCGGGTTTCCCAGTTTTCCCAGTGTTAGGAAATCTCAGGCTTGCCTGAGTGACGCAGGTCCCTTGGTGGTGTCCGGTGGGGGGGGGCAGCTGACCACCACCCTGTCCTGGCCATCCCCAGTGCTCGCACTGGTTCACCACTGCAGGGCTGGCCCCCCCTTACCTCCCCAGGCTTCTCCCTTGGGAAGCCCTGGGTGGCCCTAGGGACTGCAGCCAAGGGGTTGGAGGCGCGTTGTTGCTGCCGACGGTGGGGGCCGCCAGAAGACCCGCCTTTATCTCATTCATGGCTGTCTGTCCTCAGCTCCCAGCTGCCTGCAGTCCTGTGCAGCCTGGAGGGAAGACTGAGACTTGCCTGGTCGATAGTGTGGATTCTACAGCCTGAAGCTGATGAGGAACGACGTTGGTAAGCGTGGTACCGCCACGAGAGTCCTCTCCAGCTCATCCCAGGACCCTCACCCCTTCAGGATGGGAGATTCCACTGTTCCCCAGCCCAGGAGTGGCGTTCAGCATGCTTCAGGTGGGTGTTTGGCTTACGGATTTGTCAACAGGCAGGTCACCTTAAACAAACCCAACAGCATTGCATGGGTTAGCCGATAGGGATAGAGAAGCATTTTACGTGGAAAGGCATAAAGAACCTGAGTCTGATCTGGCCTTTTCTAGCAGCTGGTGGGTGCCTCTGCCTGCATGGGTCAGGAAATGTCCTGTCCCATGCCATGCCATGCTGCCTAAAGGCCGGGAGACATTGTGGTAGATCCCTTTCCCTTCCAGCTGCAGGAGGGGACAGCTCTCACAGCAGAGTGGCTGAACAGCCCCTGTCTCAGGCAGAGCTGGCTCATTGCACTGATGACACTGGTTCTGTTGTCTGGCCCAAAGCCAGTTTGGGACAAGCTTGGGATAGCAGAGTTTTTTAAACCAGCATGGCCAAATCCAGGAGAAAGTGCTGTCTGTAGCACAAAACTGTGCCTTTGTTGGCTGAGGAGACTACTGGCTCAACCTGCACCTACAGGTTAGACATGTCCTCCTGCTCTGGCAGTCTCTTCCCACCACAGCCTGCCAACAGTTTGCGTGGTTGCTCCCAAGCTCCTTTCAGGCCAAATCCATGGCTAGCTTAAGCAGTTTCAGAGCTAACTCCTTGCACAGCCTGGCTCAGATGAAAGTGTCACGCAGCTGGGAGTGTGGTGAAGATTGGGACCTTTGCAGCCAGGAGATGACATGTTGATAGCAAAATCCTCAGCTCAGAAAGTATCTCCTTTCTTCCTGCAAACATAAAAGGACAGAATTAAGGTTGAGCTTTCTGACCTTCAAGTTTTTGACTTCTGTTCTCACATTACAGCAGCAGCAAATCCTGTTGCATGGAGCAGAAATCTATCTGTCTGTATATGCACTATTTCAAACTCTTTGCTGCGTAAGCTGTTCCAGACTTGATCAGAAACAAGGCTGCTGATTAACAACAGAACTGGGAAACTTCTTTAGTATTGTGTTCTCCCCGCCCCGCCCTCCATTTTTTAGTTTTCACATTGAGCTGCTGAAGCTTAAGTCTGCCAGTTAATAGTGTTTCTAGCTTTTTACCTTAAGGTATTTCCCTTTGTCTGATTTCCTGTGTATCTCTAAAATGCTTCTGTATGTACAGAGTGCTCTGCCTTCTTTCTGACGTTAAGAAAAGTTTTCCTCTCATCTTGGGAGAAGGTTAGAAGGACAGGCAACAACACACTCATTTTCGCCAAATAAGTAGAGGGTATTAAATGGTAAAAAAAGGCCAATGGCATTTTTTTTTTTTTATCATTCATACCAACACTTCTGTACAAAGGAGTTGAATCATGCTTCCATTTACGCTGATGTAGATAATAAAGTCCTTGACAGTTTTACAGCACTGTATATTTATTACAAGTGGCATAATTAGAATGGAGTATATTAAATAGTTTGATCATTATAACTTTCTGCAGTTCTTGTGATTATAGCATCTTTTAGGTATTTTAATCTCTTTTTAATGTGTTTTAGACATTGAACTCTCTGAGGCAAGGACTGCTACTGTAAGCACAGCACCGAGTGTAACGGACCCCAGTGTTAGGAAGACCCTTACGTGCTACCTCAGTAGCAAAGGACTAAAAGTAGGGTTTGGAGAAGGTTTGGAAAGCACTTCCTGGTGCCCTGACAGCTCACTGGGTTATGGGCTTCCTTTGAAGGTCTCTTCTGAGCTTTCCCTCCAACTCCATTGAGGCAGAACTAAGCTCTGCTTGTTTTTTAGATTGTTGTCACCCAAAAGTTGCATCTCCAGGACCAAGCAAGTTAGCATAGCTCAAGACCTGGAGAAAAATGGTTTCTACAGAGGGCATTGCCATGCTGAGGCGGGTTGTTTTTCAAATCTGTTGTCTATTTCACATGCCAATTTATCAGACAAATGTATTGTCGTAACAAGCGACAAGGTCGCCACCACCTACCAATTTTTGATGGTTTACGTGACCTTTAGCAACCGGAGACCTCACAAATCTCAACCCTTTGTGCAGCAAAGGCAGCTAGCTTTAGGCCTTTTAAAAGGACGCAGTGAAGTCAGTTTGGGTTTAGAGGCACACGACTCTTCTAAAACCCAGAAACAGCGGGAATGCCTGCTCTCCCGGGAACTTGTGTGGCTTGCTCTGATTCAGAGCTGTCCTTTTGTGTTTCCAGCCTAAACGCAGCAGCAGTGCGGCTGTGAGCGGTAACTCGCGCAAGGAGCTGGCGTTACTGCCTCGGGTGGCTTCCCTGGCTGTCCCTGCGGCCCAACAAAGGTCCAAAAGGGAGGTGAGGGCGCTGGGAAGGTGGATGCCACCAGGTAGCCTGAAGGGCTGGGCCTGGCGGCACGCTGCCGCCCGCCTGCTTCTTCCTCGTGCGCGCCACGTGCCGGGAGCAGCAGGCCCACGGCGAGCGGGGAACCCTGGAGGGGCGCTCACCCCCAAGTGCTCCGTGCGGCCCCGGGGCCCCTGCGCCTGCCGCGCAACCTCCCTCCCCGTGCCCCGAACACCCTGCCGCCCTCGCTCCTCTCGCCGGAGCCCCGAGCGCCGCACGCCATTCCGGCAGCGGTGTCGCGGGCCGTGAGGGGGGCGGCAGGACCCGGGGGGGGTGTGGGGGGTGTGCGGGGTGTGCGTGTCCTTCCCGCCGCAGCGAGAGGCTCCCACACCGCGCGGGACTTCGCCTCCCCGCTCGGGCGGAGGGGGCACTCGCTCCCAGTGCTGGCGGGGGGGGGGGGGGGTCTCCTCGCTTCTTCCTCTTACCCCGGCGCCCGCGGTCCCCGCGGCGCCTCCCCGGTAAAGGGGCGGGCGGGCAGGCGCGGGCCTAGGGCTGCCCGCGCATGCGCGGCCCCACCCCGGGCGAGCGACTCGGGGGCGCTAGGACCCGGCGTGCCCGCGCGCCGCTGCCGGGCGATAAAGGTCTCGCGGCGGAGCTCTGACGTCACGGCGAGTTAATTTTAAACCCGGACAAGATGGCGGAGAGGGACGCGGCGTGGCGCACGGGTCCGGCCCGCCAACGGCCTGACCTGGCAGGTAACGCGTCCGTCCTCCGCTTCCTCCTCCTCCTCCGGGCGGGCGGCGGCGGGGCTGGCGGCGGGGCTGCCCGCGGGGCCGCCCGCGGGACCTGTTGGCAGGCGGCGCCGGGGGAGGCCCCGGTGCCTTCCCCCACCCCCCCCAAAATGGCGGGGGCGGCTGCCAGCCCCGCCACCCGCCCTGGAGGGGCGGCGGGGGGAGCCGGCGCGGCGGCCCCCGCGCTCGGCCCGCGGCTCCCTCCTGAGCGCTGTCACCCCGCTCTCCCTGCGCGGCCCGGGGCCTCCCGCTGGGCGGGCGGGGGCGGCGGTGAGTGCGGCCTGGGGGCGCCGGTCGGTGACCGGTGACCGGTGACCTTATTCCCCGCTGCGGCGGGGCCGGGCCGCCGCCCCGCCCCGCGTAGGAGCCGGGGGGTGCGGGCCGGGATGCGGCTGGTGCCGCCCGAAGGGTGTCTGCTTCCTTGGAGCCACGGCCACCCGCGAAGGGAGCAGCTCCGCGAAGGAGGTGGCCGGTCCGGCGCGCTCCGCCGTCAGTGCTGTTAGCTGGTGGTGATGGGACACGTTTCCGTCTTGGTGTTTAGCCTCAGGTGTGCCGGAGTCTGCGCAGTGTATTATTTAAAACACGGTTATTTCTCAAGAGTAGCTTAAAAGCTGAGAGCTTGTAACGCTCCCTGCCATACTCTGCCTGAGGGGGGTGGACCTTGGACTTATGAGGGCTGTATTGACTCGAACGCTAAGTTGAATCGCGTGAAGTTTTTAGCACTGCACTAGAGCACCGAACTATTTGAATGTCTTTGTTGTGTAGCTCCATTTGGAAGCAGAATGGTTGGACTGGGCACAATTAAACAAAGTCTAGCAGATGCCATGTGCCTCTGTTGGTTTCAGTTGCTTCATTTGCAAGCCAACTAGAGGCTGGGAAATCTAACCGCACTACAAACTGGCAGGTGCGGAGTGGCTACTGAATTTTTTTGTAGGGAGGACAAGGCAATGCTTCTGAGCATGTGGAAATGTTTGATTGTGTTTGGCAGCATTGCAATTTTAATAATTGAAGAGTCCAGAGATTGAAATTGAGGCTATGATGCTGCTTCACTGCTTGGGTACTGGTTTCTCCCTCCTTAGCACTGCTGAACTTTGATTGTTCTGTGTGTTTTCACCACTACGTAGTTTAATAATCTCAAAGCATTAGATTATTGCATAACTTTCTCAGTGTCATAGAAGCACCAGTGCACCTGTAACAAATGGCCTTTAAGGTAGCTGCGTCATCATTAGCAGTGGAAACATGCACATGACACTGTTAAGTTGGTTGTGTACTTTAGGCATGGAGCAACTTAATTGATAGGGTTTGCTAGGGTGCCTGCCTGCAGAAGAGCTTTCTGTACCGTGAAATGAAGCAGAGTGGTAGATTGGAATAGTTACAAGAGAAATGCAACAGGAGAGGCCTATAACTCCTGTACCATTACTAAGTGTTGCTTAACATCTGTTATGCTCTAGCTTGCCTTAAAGTCGCTTAAGATGTTACAGTTCCTTCTCAAGTAGCTCTGTGGTGTTTCAAACTAGAATTCTTTTGAAAGCAGGGAGTGGGGTTGAGGAAAGCTGTATTATAGCTGTATTATTTCCTTTTCATGTTCACCTGCCTGCAACTTAAAAGACATTTCTGAAATAGTTCTAGAGCACAAGAGTTTTACTCGAACTATCATAAAAGCATTCCTTTAAATACGGCAGCCTCTCCTGGTTTAGGAGGCCAGGCAGCTCTTGTTCATGTTGTATGGACAGGACTGCTTGAGCCAGGTCTTGCAGGAGCACTGGTACTTCTCAGGTGCCTTGTGCCAACTACAGTTCCTGTGTTTTGGTTAAGTACCAGTGATTAATATTTACCTACTGACTATAATAATAATAGCACCACTGACTGGAGCAAGATACTGTGATAGATGAGGAATTGTTTTCTCTTCTTATCCTAGTAAGAATAGGACACTACCTCAAGCTGGCTAGACTGGGTAAGAGTG